CTCTCTTCCTCCTCTCTCTCTCTCTCTCTCTCTCTTTCTCTCTGTCACCGCTTTCTCTTTTCTCACAAGGAAAAAAATAAGACAAGACAGGAAATGGTAAATTAAGGCCAGGTACATAAGCAAAAGAAGTCGAGCCTAGTCAGTCCTTTTCCGCCTTCTCTATCTCTCTTCAACATTCCATCGAGTTAATTTATCCTATTCTTTCGAAATTTTCGATAAATTTCTATATGTCTATGCTTCATTTCAGGCTGACAATTTCACGCATATCAATACTTTTCCTTTTTTTTTTTTTTTCCTTTCATTCTTCAGCCTTTTCACCATAAGCGCCACTTGTGGCACTTCAACTAATCCGCATAGATTTTTTTTTCTTTTTTCTACTCGGATAAATATCATTATGGTCATTTCCTTCTTATTATCATCATGATGACCAATGGTCATTCACTAATAATTCAATGAAAATGTATTTTCATATCTTACATTTCATACACCAATTTTACATTATTATTGATAAGGATGTGACCTGAATTTTCTTTTTTCATTTGCCACAATATAGAGAATTCTTTTCATCATTTAATAAAAACTTCTTTCCAAAATTTATTTTTAAACTTTCATTCACTAGAGGATTTTTTTTTTCTTTTTTTTGAGCTAAAAAGGAAGGCTTACATTTACAGAGTGGGTTACTATTACTTTTTTTCTTTACTCTCTGAGTAGAAATTTCATTGTTGTCCCATTTGAATTTTCAAATTTACTGAATTTAATTTACTCAAGTTAAGTTTTTTTTTACTCAATTTCAAATATGTTTGAATGATTTATAAAAACTTCTAAAAGGATTGTTTCATTTTTGCAGTCATTTTTCATTCAAAATAGTACAATTTTTCCCGTATTTTAAAAGAAAAAAAGTACAGTGAAGTGAATGGATGAAAGAATTTGTGTACTATTTTGTTTGTACAGTTCATTTCTGAGCAAACTTTTTTAAATACGGAAGATTGATTTGAACATAAAATGGATGTTATTGATCAATGATCAGTTCGATTAGTCATAATCACTGTAATCAGTGAATGCTTACATCGAAATCAATCATAATGTTATGAAAATGAAGATTTAGTAACATTTAGTTTTTCTTGTTTCCCCACTTCTGTTCTCCAATATCATTGAAATATATTATAAGCTTTTTTCTTTTTTTTTTCTCTCCCTAAGATGAAATAATCCTTAACTATGTTAAAAAAGAAAAACAATTGATAATTATCTATTTGATTAAAATTATACTTTAAATTTTGAAAACTTCAGTTAAATAACTTTTATTATTTATTGAGTAATTATTGCTAAATGAAGATAAAAAGTTACAAAATGGATTATTTTTTTTTTGAAGAAATTAATTAATTGTCCTTTAATTGTATTTGTATGCTTATAAAAAGGGCGAGGAACTAATATTTTTAAAAAAAAAAAGAAAAAGGAAGGAAGTGAAAGTTCTTTTAAATTTATTTAATAAAGAGAATGGTATGTTTTTACAAAAAAAAAAAACGAGCTTTTTTTTTTTCTTAAAGTTAGACGTGTGAATTGAATTCTTTAAAACTAGCGAATTTCTTCAACTGTTCTTTTTGAATGCGTCATTCTGAGCAAAGCGCACTTCTTCATTGAACTGGGAGGGGAAGTAAAATGAAGAAGGAGCAAAGTACATATTAAAATATGCTCGAAAGGAAGCCAAAACTATAAATATACTTTTTGCATTGAGTTGATTATATTTCTTCTTAACAATAATCACTTATTGTAACTGATAAGTTATCACTTATATCATCCTTTTCATAGTAGCATAAATAGATCATGGTTGAAGTCTGTAAAATTTTTTGGTTTGAAGCTTTTTCTCGTTCTGTTCAATTTCTCTATCAGCTGTGATCACTTCTGATTCTGATCTGATTATATTTCAGTATTAAGAATGTTTTAATTGTTATCAGTGCTAGCAATTACTCATCGTTCTAACTTTTTCTTATCATTTCCAAATTTATTCCTTCTGAAAAGGTTCCTTTTTTTTTTTAGAATTTATCAGACGATAAAATGATGGATTCACCACTGGAAAAAGCTCGACGAATATTCCACATTGAGAATCGTACCATTGTTAATTGTTTATCCGAATTCTATTGTACCTTGCTATTACTGGTAAGATTTGTCTTTTTTTTTGTCTCTTTTAAAACATTCATGGAAATTTGTCCCATACTAGTATCCAACATAGTTGTCTCTTACTTATCACTGAACTATGACTACTATCAGTGTGAGCATAGCATTCTGATCTAACTATAAAGTGCTAGATAAGCTCTTTTATAACAAATTTTTTCATCATTTATGGGACATATCTAGGAGAAAAGGAAGTCTTTTCTTAATTAAAAATGACTTGTTAACTGTTTTTATGTTGCAATAAATTATTTGAAACAACAAAGTTATGCTGAAGTTTGTTTTAACATAAATACCACTTTCCCATGCATATGTTATGCTTCATCAAGTACAATTTCTAGTGCACACTTATTGATGTTTACATAATTTTCAACGTTAACTTATCAAAAAGAAAAAGTTGCAAGAAATAAATGAATTGGAAGGTTTTTTCCCATTTTTTTTGCAGACAATTTTGATGATTTTTAGCTTACTTTTACAGTTAAAAAATTTTCCGAATTCAACTCATTAAATGAAATTTGAAGAAGAAGTATAAGAATGGTTCATTTCTTTCTTTCTATCAGTTATCATTTGATGAAAAATAATACAATCTAGTAATATATGATGTGGAAGTGTTGTTATTTTATTCTCATAGAAACAAACCTAATTCTAAGTCAATGTGACATGAATGAATATAGTGAAATTCGTTTAAAAAAAAAAATGAACAAACTTTTCTTGGAACTGATGCGTTGTTCTTAAAAATTAACTTCTAATCGTTGAAACAGAAAAATTATGTTGAAATAATGAATTTTATTTTTGAGGAGAAAAAATGAGTTATGATAGTAAATTAAATGCAGAAAGAGAAAAAAAATATTTTAGTTTTTCGGCATTAGTATAGTGCATCAATTGGATCTGTCGCATAAACAGTTGAATACATGGATACAAGTGAATTTCGGATGGGGATTTACGATCATGTTGTGTGTTTATGCTTGCTCGAAGACATCAGGTATGGTATCAAGTTTTTTTTGTGATAAGAATAACTGATATGGAACAGGAACTTGGAAATTTTGAAAGATACGATGATGCATGTTGATAAGTTGCCATTTACCTGTGGTAAATGGGATTTCGAACTGCCTTCAAAATTTTCATACAAGTTCTAAGGTCAGCCCTAAGGGAATTGTTGTTTAATGAAATTCTGTATAGTATTTTATCATAAATGTTTATATTTCAAATGACTAATATCTCATAGTGGTGGGACTTTTACGCTGGCCAATACCTTTCTTATATATTAAGCTTACAATTATTAGACAAACCTTTTAAAAGGGAAATTTTGATATTAGGATTATATATATATATATATATATATATATATATATATTGCGAAGAAGTAATCCTAGTTTTTTTCTTTTGATATTCTTCAGCACTTTTACTTCATTTTAAGGAGGACATATGAATCCAGCAATCTCACTAATGTTTTATACTCTTGGGAAATTGCCTCTCTCACATTTTTTCTACTACTGCATCATGCAAACTCTTGGTGCTTTCATTGGAACAGCATTTGCGTACACTGTCTATTTAGGTATTATTTTCAATTTAATAATTAAACATTTTTTGATTTGTCATTAGTCGCTAACATTTCTGATTAATAATAAAAAGCAATTTCAGATCAGACTCATCACGTCTTGGGTGATCTTCGCATTGCAACGGGTCCGAATGGTACAGCGACATTGTTCACCTCAATGCCAGCACCTCATCTTTCAAATACTATCGCATTCTGGGATCAGGTAATCAGCATTCTATAGTATAACTATATTCTTGAGTAATTAAGCCTATTTTCATTAATCTGATGCAAATTCATTCCCATGTTTTCCATTCTAAATTTCGAAACATTTTCGAAGAACTTGAATTTAAAAATTTCGAAACTTAAAAAAAACTTTCTCAAGTTTTGTACGGCTATAATTCACCATTGCAGTGTTTGTTATCACCTTATAGACTTATTTAAATGCAATTCATTAGTAAAATACTAAATTCTATAAGTTGAATTTCATTAAAATTTAAAAAAAAGATTTATGCAAAATTTGCATTTCTCATTACTGCATTTCCTTGCTATCATTTCTCATTGCTGCCTTTTAAATTTAGTTGAAAAACATAAATATATTGTCAAACGTTTGACGAACAATGAATGGAACATAACATTTCATTTCAGTTTGTTGGTACAGGATTTTTGGCTCTTTTTGTATGTGTGATCACAGATAAACGTATGGAAATTCCATCTTCACTTCATCCTATTCTTATTGGACTACTTATTGCAACAATTGGCATGGGATTCGGAATGAATCTTGGTTATCCGATTAATCCAGCAAGAGATTTTGCGCCACGAGTTTTCGCTGCTATGATTGGATATGGTTGGGAAGTTTTTAGGTATGGTGAATTAATGTTGTTCGTTTTTTTTTTTCTTGAATAATTACGATCGATGATTCATATACAAACAAACACTTTTCATATTATATATCTATCGTTTGGTTTAATGGCTGTACTCGATGATTTGATATTTGATGATCGTTAATGTTGATATTAATGACAATAAGTAATCAAATTGAATTTCAGTGAGTTATTATATGTGTTAAAGTTGTAATTAAGGTAACTTGATTTGGATTTGCTAATACTGTTCATTAAAAGCCTTTCCGATATCTTAATGTTAATTTTTTTGCAGTTATCATAACTACTATTTCTGGATTCCGATAGTAGCACCGTTCTTTGGTGCAATAGCTGCAGCTTGGTCATATTTCATCTTTATTGGCTTCCAAATTCCGGATCAGCCACCCAGTTATATGAAAGAAAATAAGACTGATGGTGATGGTATCCCGTTGAAAACTACGTATGTTGACTTCTATATTTTCTCACTTGTTTTTTAACGTTTTAAGTTTAGATCAAAATGTATTTAATAATTTCCGTTTGCTGACATTTGCTTTCAGTTGGCCTATGATCGATTTTTATATTGGAATATTACTATTGATATTTCATCTTTTATGCGTATCGTAGAAGAATAAATTTAATTGATAGGCTGTTTTTCTCTGTTCCTGAGATATTAAGATTGTTTGATCATTACCCAAAACATTTTTAGTTTGTTAGTTCTTATTATTTGTTTATGGTTTTCTTTTTTTTCAGAGATCTTGCATGAATTTAATGATGAGAAGTCCAGTAAAGCAGATGAAGATAAGTGTAAACGCATAATGAAGAATTCGGCTCATTTTTCAAAAAATTATACAATTTGAATTTTTCCAATTTAATTGCATAATTTTGCTTCACTAATTTTAAATTAGATAGTTGATTTTTCCTTAGGGCGCCGATCGGAAGTTAATGTTATCAGTGCAAATTTGAGCATAAAAATTCAGCGCCGTCAAATGTACTCCTAATTTTCCACACCAAGAATTATATTATATTTTTGTCGAAATATCTCAGAGGAATCCTATCTGTTAAGGGAACTCATTTTTAACTGTGGCCATGATAAGTTACTTTTTGAGTACTCACTTCGCATCTTAACTGACCTTTGATATTTGGTCGGTAATAGTGTAATACTACTTTGTTCCTTTCCTATTTTACGTTTATGCCTTTTTATTTTTGCTGACATTTTACATTGAATAGAAAAACACAATAGTTATTTGCTTCTTTTTTGCTCCTTTTTGATGAAGACAGAATGACATTATTTGTTATCAAAAGATTGAATTTTCATTTTCTGATCAAATTTGAATTCGAAAACTATGTGAATGTTTTTGCCTCCCCGTTATACTTGGAATGTAAACGAAAGAATAAAAAATCATATGCTTTGAGCATTTATTAAACATTAAAAGATATCAACTGATGGGAATGACTCAACTTTACACAGTTTACTGTTGCTGAAGACATTAAGATATACTTTCTTATACAAGTACCATTCAAACAAATAACCAATCATTTTGTGGACAGGTCAGTTCATTTTGCGGACAGGTGGACAGGTCGCTTAAACATCAGTACTGAATGTAACGCATAATTGGTGCATGAAGGTATTGATTACTGTAAATTGAATCAAGAAGGGACAATTTATCCTTTAACAGACTTGAATGTTTTAAAAGTTCATTTTCATCAAATTTGTAAAGAATTCTGCTATCACTGCAAATGTATACTTGTAGTTCCTCTTACTAAAAATTATGTATACTTACAAACAGCTATTGTATACGCTAAATAATCCCTGTTATACATATATATACGGAAAAGGAAAGGGAATATTAAAGTACCACTCAGTAACCCATTTTCAGAAATGTTGTCCAGAACATTCGCTATTAACCTTTTGACCTTTCCACCTCTTGCTGTATTCTTGTATGCCATCAGGAGAGAGAGAGAGGGTTTTCGTTGAATATTGTAATTTTTGTTATGCTTTTGCCGTCATGCTTTGTTGTTGCATTGCATGCTAAGAAGTAAGAAGTGAATGATGGAAATACGGGATGCGGAATGTTCGATATTGATTGTATTAATCAGAATAAATTTGAAATTGCAATAAATAGCAAAAATAAATGGCTCCAATATCAATTGAATTTTCACCAAAACGTAATAAGTTTCGTTTCAAGCATTTTAGATTTATTCTAATCAATGGAAAGTTATGACGAAAAAGAAATGAAATGGAAATTCCTTCAAGTTGGATGATCATTTGGTATAACAAAGTTAGCAATCAAACTTGTCTTGATTAGTTTAAACTTGATAGACTTTTGAATTCGGCTCTTATCAGCTAACTACCATTTGATGAAATCCACTCACCACTGCCAATGAAAGCAATATTTACAGATTATGAAAGGAATTTTGTTATTACTAGAGATGTTATTACCCTTATCTTTTGTTATACTTTTTTTGACATTTCATTTAAACGTAACATTGATGATAAATGGAAATGAAATCGTACGACGGTTTCCAGCTAATTTACTCCCATTAATTATCTTTTTTTTTTTCGATTCAAATCTTTGCGCTTCCTTATTCTTTCAAAATGATTCTAAACGGAATTCCCTTTTCTCATCTTAAGGAACATTTATTATTTTTGAACAGACCGCTTATAGCTGCAATGATTCTAGCTGTAACGGGCTAACACTACGATTCATTTCCTTCCAATATATTTTTAATTACGCTCTCGAAATGCTCATTTTTGAGATTTTTCAACTGCCATGACTACTCCCAAATCTGACCTCAATCTGACCTTTGAGCCACATTCTATTGGGTAAGACTGGATGATGGATGATGAATTGTTACTGATTGTAATCTGTCATCTGGTTCATGTATTCAGCGTGTTGTTACGACATATCTAAAGATGATTTCTGGCTCTGTAATTGTGCAAAATCATGAGTGCTACTGATACTGTAGCTGATACTGCCGAAAATTGGAGTTCCTAGGATTTTATGAATTTCTGAGAATTTAACATACAAATTCAATGAATTGTTTCATTCTTAATTGTTTCAGATACGATGCGTCACTTGGAACGTTTCAAAAAATATGGAAAATATTCCGTGATTTTCCACTTTCGGTTAAAGTTTTCGTCAAATTTATTCGAAATGATTCCGGTCAAGTCAAGTAAAATGTCCTGGAAGTCAAAAAGTAAATTGAATTTATTGAATTTATGCTAAACAAACCTAAATTTTAATTTATATAATTTAAATTTGCTTAATAAGCACCAAAATTTTGGGACATGCTTCATTTTTCATATTTATAGTATTTACTGTTGAAATGAAGCAAAACATAAACTTGGATAGGATCAGTTTTAGAATGTAATTCAGTAATTCTTGCTATTTTCATTGTAAAAAACATTTTAGCTTCTTAGAAGAATCAATATCACTAATGCCATCCAATAAATCTTTCATGACTTTAGAGGTAAATTTGAATCAAAACGGAATCACTTCTTGAAAACATTTCGTAATTTCCATTATTTCCGGAATCTTTCATTTTTCTTTCAACCTTCCCGGTAAGTGAAAAATTTTTTCCTGCATTAATTTCGTATCACTTCATACGAAATTAAATGAACGCGCTTACAGAAGTGTAAAATTTCTACTTGTAGTCGACTAAACTTTCAGAAATATCTTGAAGAGTTTAATAATACTGCAAAATTGTAAGGTAATTTGAAAGTTAGATTAGTTTGATCAACAAGATGCCATAGGTATTCAGCTAGCTAATTTTTCCGTGAAGTTTTCCGCGGTATCTCTTATGTCAATAAGCGCTCAGACCACTTCAAAGTTCTTTAATAAATTTGAGAATTTACTCATTTGTTAATACTTTTTGAGCCATTATGAAAATTATTGATTTTTTATTATTTTACCAGAGATCTTGAAATCATTGAAATTAAAATTTAAAAGAGTATGTTCTCAACGAGATTATCATAAAGTAGAATCGATAATGAGTCAGCAATATGAAATGAGATTAACTTCCTACTCGGAAAATCCTTCATGGAGGTATCCACTCATGATCTACAATATCCTGATTATGACAATCATGCTTAATCTTGTTAAATCACTACTGTCATTACTGCGATCAATTCTCGTAAAGTTTCCAAAATGTCATAGTAATTACGATTTAAATTGTTTATGTGTCATAATAAGTGCATATTTTAAATATATTAATTACTTCAAATTTGAATTTTTGTTATTCAACTTCTATTGTAGCAGAAACATCCGTCTTAATGCTAATTTTGCATTTGCAATCGTTCATGGTAAGTCTGATCGATAATTTTTTCATAGCAGACATAGCATTAATAACACCGATAACATTTGACCTTTAAATATCACTATAACACTTTGTTATTTCAAAATCAACACATAACTCTATACTATAATCATTTATCATCCTTCTGATAAAAAATAATGTTCCAAATGATTATTTTTAGTGGTAGGATTTGTCCATTATTTCTCTTTTAGATGCAATTTTTCATTTTAATCGATTGATTAAAACTATTGCACAACAGATAGTTGCATATGATCCCAACTTTCAACATCGGGTTTGTAAAAAATGATTGATCTGACCATTTTCTTGGCTATTGTAGTGGTCATTAGCGGTCATAGCTGGTAGTATTTTCGGAAACAATTTCATTTCATATTTCTGAAGGAAATTAGAAAAATCATGCATTGTAAGATAATATTTCAAATAAGTAAGATTCAAAAAAAAATTAACTAATTTAATTAATAGTTAACTACTATAAATCTTTTGTCTTCCATTGTTAATGCAGTACCGTTACAGTCACTCATTAAAAAATAATTAAAAATAAAAGTAGTAAAGATGAAAACTCCATACTGTATACTTGTTAACAAAATAAAGGTGAAACAAAGACTGGATAGGTACCGTATTAACGCAACGTACCATATTAACATATTTACCCCGTATTGTATAAATATGTACCGTATTCGATAGCATAAGGTTTATTCTATTGTATATGCAAAGATCAACTATGTGAACTTTATTTTGCGAAGTATAAAAAAGCTTATAAACAAACAATAGAAACAAACAATTTTTTCTTTTAGATTTGAAAATTGTTATCATTAATTTTTCCATTTTTGTTTCCAATAGAATTAATTCAACAGCATAATTCAATTTTTGTAATACTGTAATGTTAGCAGCTCCCAAATACAGTAGTCCACATCTTTTTTCATAGTCATCTTATGTGTTTACAGAATTAGATAACCGTGGCAATTGATACTACTATGTTTCAAAATCAGTTAAATCGAAAACCTGACCAATTAAATATGCAAATAGCAATTGGCAGCAATTAAGCCTGAACATTTTTTCCAAATCTTTCTTAGCTATTTTCAGATCCAAAAATTTTTCCGCAAAGATATATTAAAATATTCGATCATTGTTTTTTATCGATTAAAGTTAATTAATGAAGGAATTAAAGAAAATTCGTTCAAAACTGTTTAGGCATCACGTTTTTTGAGTGTTTATTTTTATTGTTTACACACAAACTGAAATGACCTTTACGGCGAGTGGATTTTCCGTCGTAACATGACATTTATTCCTCTTTTATCGAAATTTTTCGACTTAAATGAAGCACCGTCAGTAGTCAATCATTGGCGTAATATACGAATAGATTAAGTATCACGTACTAATTAAGTATCAAGTACTACAGTAAGCCTCTTTCAAAAAATTTATGCTTTAATCGGATAAGTACGCCACTTTCAAAAGGAGCATTACACTTGATTTTCCGGATATTCAACTATTTAAACTAACTTATCAATTTATTAGTCCTTTTCAATTCTGTTTAATTTTTCTTTTCAAACAAAGTTTACTTTCAGCTTATTTTACTGCTGCTAACATATGTTGCTATTATATTACAGTTCGGAGATATTTCCTCAATAGTTTTTCACTTCAAAATATTGCAAAAATGAATATTTCAAGTTCATGAAATGACCTAATAACTTATCTTTTCATTTAATGTTAAATTTACAGAAAAAGTTTAACGAAAATTTTCAAATAACAACAAGGGAATGATTTGATGTATCAAATACAAACTGAATATGGAGCAACAATAAGATTGAAAGTATAACTAATTAGTTGTGACATAATAATATTAATTAGATTTTGTGTTTGTTAAAAGATGGTAATAAATGAAGACAATTTTAACCACTGAGAACTCTTCCATGCACTTTTTTTTTTAGAATTTTCGTTTGTGTCTGTTTTGGAAATTTTTGAGACGAAAATTTCTTTTTCCATTGTTACCAAAAGAAATGAAATTTAAGAAGGAAAACTTCTCCTTACCCTAAATGATTGATTTTATTCTGATATTTAATTAAACTCACTTTTTATTCCATTTAAATGATATAATAAATATTGCAAATAGTGCAGCATTTCAATCCTTCAATTGTTCATTCTTATTTGAAAAATGAAAATAACATTTTTGAAAATAAATTTATATGCAAATATCAACAATATAATTAAAATATTTCAATAACAAACAATTAATAAACTCAAATGAGCAAATATTTTTTATGAATTAACAAATACCAATAATTAATGATTATTTTCATTTAAGGTGAATATAAAGTATGAGTAATTTTCGTTTGAATAGAAGAAAAGTGTTTTAAAGAGAATAACAATGAATCGATTTTCTTAACATTGATCTGATAACATGGATATGTTAACTTACTAAAATACAAAATAAATATTTGTCACCTGTCAATTTACTTATCGCAAAAATGATTTTGGTACCTCCAAGTACAATTTGAATAAGTTAAAGTAAGAGTTTGCAAATTTCCGTTTGTCGTCAAAGATCAAATCACAGTTTCATATCGATCAATGATGTAGAACACACGAAATTTAAGTCTACTATTTCTAAGTTTTCCAAAAATTTAATTAATCTAAGCCAAAATTAACGTAATCTCTATGAATTGCTCAAATAAAAAGTTTATTACATTAATTGTTTACGGATAAAATTACTTATGTAAATCACAACAGAAAGCGTTTAATTTTTAAAAAAATCGCAATATTTGACCTTGAAATTCTTAAAAGTAAGAATTTAGAAAATTATTAGGAAAAACTTATTTTATGAATGAATGATATTAATTAACTTGAAGTGGCAACTTTTTATTCGAATTAATTAAATAATTTAATTTACTAATTTCATAACAAGTTTCCTTATTTCTTCCTTTCCCATTAAGTAAGAAAAAAGCAATTACTATCCATGCTTAGATTCACCTTTCTAATCATACCTTCGTTTTTGTAATTCGTTCAAATCAATCATAATTGATCAAAGTGCTCTCCAGAAATGAATCTCTTTTTTTCGAATGAGAGGGAGAGAGAGAGAGAGGAAGAAGAGTAGTGGAAGATGTAACATTTGATTTGATCATCTTTCCAGATGTTCCAACCTGGGGATGGTATTCCTATCACTTGATATGAGGTCAAGTGCTCCGCTTTGATTAAATGCTTCTAACGGTATCTGTCGAATATTTTCACCCAAATCACAGATTATTTGTAAAAGATTGAGTTTCTTGATTTCCCCGACTTGGATCTCTTCCAGAATTTCGGCATTTTCATAATAGAATCTATAAAAAAAGACATTGATTATTCAACAATAAATTAATTATTGATAAATTAGAGCAAAAAAGACAACACATACCAATTATTCTAATTAGTCAAACTTTAAGCCTGCTATAAAATTACTGAAATAATGAAATTCGAAAATTCATTCTCTTACTTGCCACCATTTCGTAATTTTCTAAATTACTCTAAAATGATACAGGCTGGAGTAGATCCAACAAAAGCACCTTCTACTGGATCTTCCAATTAGCCGCCAACATACAAATCAATATTTTCTTCAAATGACAGATACATTTAATAAAGAAATTTTAAATAAAAAGTTTTTTAAATAAAGTTTAGTTTGAGAAGAGAGAACGTGTTATACTCACGGTTTTCACGTTTATGACTGAGGAATTTATCTATAGGATTGTATGTTCATAAAAACCAGTAAATATTATCTACTACAATAACAATCTCTTATTTTTAAAACTTTTATAAGTAATTAAACAATACTTACCCACATAACCAAGGATTTGAACATAAAATTGAATTTTTAATTATGGTGTTGAGATCATCGAATGTCCACACATTTGACATTTTACAAAATGTTTGTCAAACAACATATCCAGGTAATGTATTCCATGGTCACGTTAATGTTGAATATTGATAGATCTAAGATCAGAATTGCCAAATATTCGTTCAGTTATTGCTGGAATAAGCCTGTAGAATCCATTAGCTTAATGTGTATCAGAAGCAATTAATTAATTGGATTGTAACTTACAGAAAAAAAAACTCAGACGAATAATTGTTACCAAAGAACTGATTTAAACATGTTTATTTTCTCACTGAAAACAACTTTAACAATTAAGTTTTCTGGCAATGCTTTTATCAATTCCTTAGCAATTTTGAATTTATATAATGTATCTTTATAGCATCTTTCCTGCTAAACTTATCAATTCCATAAGCAAAGAGATGAATCCTTTTGAACATGCTATCATTAAACGATATACTGCCAATATGAATCAAGAAATGGATAAAATTCCTAGAAATTAGATCTTAATAATAAAAAAAAACTTATATAATAGAGGATTGTTTGATGGTTTTTTTTAGAAAAGAGATTAAGTAATTTTCAATTAAAAAATAAAAATTTTCGAAAAAATTACAATAAATTTTCAACAGTAATTCATTCAATTAATAGGCAACCAAACACCGATAACAGTTAATTATTTCCAAACCAATCTATTCCTGATACGGCTATTTCCTGAATTTCTTTCCTGTTTTCCTTCAACATTTTTGGTTTTTAAAAAAAGAAGTTTGAAGAAGTTTATATGCAAATATTGCATTCTTATCACTACACCTAACAAAAAAGAAAGATTCCAATCTGTATCATTTCATGCCCAAATTGGAAGGTAGATCCAGTAAATTTGTTACTAATAGTTACATCCATGTTTTTATCATAGCCTTCGTAATCACTGATTAGTTCATTAAATAATATATGAGGTAAATAATCCTAGAAATTGTGCAACAACTTATTCAACTTTACAGCCTAATCTAATTTGATACTAAAATTTTATTTCTAATCATTTCATCATTCCATCATCATGTTGCTTACTTTGACAAGTAAGTAAAAATAACAACTCTGTGAGGATGATAGAGATGATGATGATAATGACGATAATAATAATGATAAGGCGTAGACAAACCTTGTAGTGATAAGGTGTAGGGAAACCTTATATGCAATATGTTGTATGGCAACCCCAATTATTCGTTGTGTTTCTTGAAAAAATTCAATCCTAATCCTAATTCTTATTTAAGCCTTACAATACTGATATTATCTTCAATTATACCACAGCATTAGTAGTGTTCTCGATCAATTATTTATGGTTAATCTCTAGATAGAGAATTACTTGTCAATCTAAATGTCAATTGTTAGACTCTTCCTAAGGTCATTATTGGGATTATTTCTATTCTAAGATACAAATTAAGTTTAAAATTTTACATTAATGATTACCAATAGTTTCGAAATTTTTCACAATGCTGTTTAAATTCAGTTTTCATTGCTAAAGTCAAAATTAATGAAAATATGGTCATTGGTCATTGATGGTCATTGAATGATTCGAAGATATCTGCTACGGTACATGGAGTATAGACTAAACCGACAAATATATTTGCTCGATCATCACCGGCGGTGATACTTTGATTGCTATCAATCGAAGAGAAAATACAGTCTGTATCTTCATGAAATTTTCTTGTCAGAACATGAATTGGTTCAAATCAAAAGGACCGTAATTCTATTTAAACGTGTTATATTAATGTTGGAATACTCAAAAATTTGCATTTGTTATTGCTAAAAATGATAAAGAATTTTACCACTGAACCATCGAGATATGCCGAATTTTCATTGTATTGTTAACGGGGGGGAATGATTTCCCTGAATTATATGGCGGGATAGAATGAGCCATTGGTAAACATTAAAAAATACTAAACCTAAAATTATTATTAGTAAAGTAATCACATTTCTTTTCATTTACCATTAGTGAAGTAATCTCGTTTCCTTTTTCATATCACACTTCAATAAAGTAAAACTGGCAAAAGTTAAAGTAAAGTAAACATATTTATTTATTTCAAAATATGAAAATTTTCTACCTGGTATATTGATAAATGATTAAAAGTTTAAACTTATTAAACAATCAATAAATATCAATTTTAGGAGATATTAGCAGATGAAGAGAATGAATTTTGTTAGGAATTCAAAAAGGTAACATTCAGATTTTTATTTTTGTCATATTTACATAATGGAAGTGAAAAAAGCTTACGTTGTTGGATCATGCAAAACATTCATGTATTTAGAATTAGGTTCATATAATGCACATTCTTGGTTGTTTAGAACTGTTATCTTGGCCATATCGTGACTCAGAAATTGGTCCCATTACATCAGCAAAGACATTTGAATCATTTGTCACCTAAAATTAAATTGGCACCAAATTCTTCACTTATTTAATCAAATTGGGGATTTTTGAAAGTTAAAAAAATTGGTATAAATATTTAAATATTCGTGAAAGCGGTCAAATTTTGACCACAGCTTTGAGATGGGTGGTGATTCACTTCATATCTCTTTTAGCTTTTTATTACGAAATATGCTGGAGTTTTCGTTTGTCCTTTTGATTCAGTGAATTGAAGCTTTTGTTTTTCTCATCCATTAACTCCTCTTGTCTCTTCTGTCTTAATCTTTGACCTCAAGATTATTAAAATTACGCTTACTTTCCGATGATTATCATTTCATAGTTATTAAAAATATCTGAATTTTATTACGTAAAATTTAATAAATAAATATGTTTAATTTATTTGGTTTGTTGTTTTAATTGCTGAAAATGAATTGTTTACATGTGTCCCAACCTGTATACCTGATGAAAGCATTGAATGTGACATTTCTCGTGTCATTGGTCGTGTGCTGCAATGCAAATAAAATGTACTGATCTTTTAAATAATGAAATATTTTATCATCTGAGATGGATTACCTCAAATTCTTCATGCTGTGATGATCGTCATTTTGGCCAAGAAGTTAAAAAGCCAAGAGTATTCGATTGTTGTTTACTCATAGTGAAAAGTAAAACACATCTTAAACATATCTTACTCGAATTCTCATCTTGAAATTGAGCCCAAACGGTAAAAGTTGATAAGAAACATATATGTTGACACATTGATTCTGTTGTCGCATCGTGGTGGTTTCAGGTGAATATACGGTAGAAAAAGCAGGACCGTTTTGTGGTGATTGGAAATTATTGCAGGTATCATCAAAAATTCGAAATCTAAGATGATAGTATAAATTTTGCTTGCAATTATTTTCATCTAACTGTAAAACACATCCAAATCGAGCATTCATTTTACATATATTAGCAATCGATATTGTATGACTTGTAGATGTATTTGTAGTTTTGCAAAAATTTATTTATCAAATTAATCAAATTATAAAAGAATGATCGATGCAAAGAAAATGGAAATATTTTATTTGCAATAAATCTAAATTCATCTTTTCGAATTACCTTACAACTTCCTAATTTACATGGCGTTATTCGCCTGAAAGTTTAATTAACAAATTCAATTACCTCTAATGGATGATATATAATTAGCTTGAAACTTTACTGAAATTGAAATGAATGTCGTTGCAGAGCATGCATGATCGAGGACAATTGATATGCATCCATACCGCATTCATCATTGGATGACCAAAATTAATATAGTGCATGCGTACTCGTACGTAGATAAGTAACTTAACTTATGAGTAAATTGAAAAATTGTAATTTTGAAAATATAGAAAAGAAAATTTTTACCACTGAGTTTATGGCTTAATGAACAAAGACTATATGTTAGAAGATTAATTTATGGTAAAATTAATCAAATAATTGGTACGATTTCTTATATAGTTTATTTTAACAACTTACAATGAAATTAATTGAGTAATATAATTAATTTTTTACACATTTTATCGTAGTAATTTATTTCAAAGTTAAATGATTAATTTCCCATTTTAAACTTTTACGGTTTATTTCTTTTTTTATGAAAGAAAATTGTCATAATATGATTTGCTAAAGGTTTCGTATCCGTGCAAATTAATACTTATTAACTTGCAAAAAATTGGAACTGTGATTTTATTTATTAGATTCTTTTTGTCATTTCAGAATTAAAACTCTTCAAATTCCCATCACTTTTTACTAAATTTCAATATGTATAACAAAATGATCATTTTTTTTTTCCACAAAAATTTGCATAAAAAAGATAGTTAATATGCTCAATGTATGCACATTATGTGTAAATATGAATACATAAAATATTGTCATTTCATTGTTTTCTCGGATATATTCATTTTATTTCAAATAATTGAAATATGTACCTTAAAAAAAGGACAAAGGGCGCAAAAGTTCTTGTTGTATCTGTTTTAAAATGAATATCCATCTGATCAAATCAAATTTTCTTTCGAAATAATGGATGTAAAAGTTCGCATAAAAGTGACATTTTTATTGTAAATTGCTATTTTTGTCATTGAACTGTTTGATAAAAAATGATCAAGTTTTAATATTAAATTTAAGAATAAAGTTGTGCCGTTTTGACAATTTCAATTAGTCTCAATGAAAAAAAAAGACAATTCTTTAGAAAAGAAAAAGAAATTGATTGATGGACAGAAAAAAGATTTAGAACTGCTAACTTCATGATTTCTAACAGGTAAAAGGAGCCAAATTTTAATGGAACATCATTTCTTCCTTTTTTTTCTTCTATGGTAATTAACCGAGAAATGTGGAATGGATCCTTCGGAAAGGTTGCAAGGTGAACAAGCAATAACGGTTGAAATTTAAAGAAAGAACAGTTTAACGAATGAGATGATGGTTTCAATTGATACGAGTGGTTTAGAATAGTTTTATTGGTACCAATATCATATGATTGGTAATACTTAGGTACCATTACATACCACGGTTCAAAACAAATTATTCCATTCTTTTATGATTTATCTGATTTATTTGACAATAAAAAATTAAAAATGCTTAGGTTGACATTTACTACATGCAATGGAATAATTAATTCCATCCATTTCTTATTTATGATGCATTTACCAATGGTTGCCCGAAATTTGCAAAATTTTTGGTTATTATGACAAACATTCTCCGGAACTTTTCGAGATTCCTCCAGAAAGCTATCATTAGATGCAAATTAACAAATTTGAAAATAATTTAAGATATTTTGTTTAATTCCATACAGTTCCTTACATTAACAAATACTAATATCAATTTCTTCCATTAAATTATATGTTTTTCGTAACTTGGAAGATTAAACAAAGTGATGATCTGATTCACTTTCAAACTCAGTTTGTTATATTTCTATTTTTCGCTGCTTGAAATTTAACTGGAATACCGAACAAACGTTATCAACTGAAAGAGTGGTAACACCAAACAAATGAATGACTTGTTCAATGGATATTTTAAAGTTAGTCATTTTAAAATGATTCCATGTATAAGTGGCTTATCATTATTTCTCACTAATTTTGTTTGATTGTTTTATCCATTAGAAATTTCAGACTAGTAATTAATGCTTTCAATGAATGCAATTAATTATATGTTGCATAGATTTTCATTAGTTAGGAACAATTTTAAATATATTGTATGTTTATACTTTAATTGAATGCATAATCTATAATGGAACAAAGCTCTTGGAAAATTTTGGAGCTCTTTCAAAAATTACGAATAAACGATTTTTTAAAGTATGTTAATTCCTAATTTATTCAAATGATATCATATTTAAACGAGTTATGTATTCATCAACACTCAACAATCTTTGGAATTAGTGAGAATTATTTTTTTCTGGGTAATTCAAAATCTGTTTTCATTGCCAGTTGTTAATTGCTATAAGAAATATTAGGACTACACCGTCAAGGCTGATAAACGGTTTACTGGTAGGATTAACAGTTAAACATATTTTTAAATGTTCAACAAAATGCAGAAATTTGTGGAAAATGAGAATCTGATTACAAAGTACAAATTTACAATTAATTTAATTTGAAAAGCTAAAAAAGAATGGAAAGAAATGCGGTAAATTTGCTGTGTTATAAATCATAGTAATTTACAATGATTTACTAGTAATTGAAGCGTTAATTAAAACAAAGGCAGCACTTAAAAAACTCAGAAAAGGTTACACTATCTAACTTTTTATCCATATGGATGCAAGCAAAAGATTCATGGAAATTCTTTGGTTAAAATGACAATGATTATGACAAGTGTCCAAATTAGGCTATCGAAGAGTTAGCTAACTCTGTTGGCTTCTTTTTGCTAGCTAAATCAACTGAGATTGTTTCCGGAGGCATAAGACTAATGAAGTCCTATTAGTTATTACAGTTCAGTGAAATGAGATAAAAAATTTTTCAGAAAACAAACATTTCACATTAGTGATAATGGCGAACAGCAAGAGTAATAGAAAAATGAATTTCATCGTCACTGACCTGATATTCGTACAGTTGACCAATCATTATTAAATAATTAGTAAGTTGACCTGATTCATTGAACAATTCCCAATAATGATAATAATGCGGGGATAAAACTGAGACAAATAAATAATCTGGAGATTCTAGAAAATTTTTCAAACAAATTTGATAAAGAAATGGGATGCGAAGTTACTGGTTATACATAGAAACAAACAAACAATATACAAAATGAACAAAATGGAAGTGAAGAAAAAAATGAAAAGAGGGATTTCACAAATTTAAAATGAATTAGGTCGATTGAAAAGTGCAATAGATGGAAATCAGTGATAGGTAGAAATTAAATTAACAGTAGTAAGTAATCCTGAAATATCAACAATTCTCCCTTACTTATTTGCGAATATTACTATTGTTATCAATGCTACTGCTACTTTATAAAGCGGATAAAACTGGAAACATTCTATCGTCGAGTTTTTTTCATCCAAAATCATGAAAAAGAATTAAGCGCATCAAAGATTGGCAAAGTTGAAAGATGTCACTTGAAAAGTATTACTACTGCGTATGCCGATCCGGTTACTTTTAAAAAATAAAAGTGTGATATACACCATGAGAAGTAGAATAATGGAAATATCATTGTCCAGTACTTCGTATCGAACAGTATATATTGTCCCACTCGAATTCAACCTGTTCTTTTGCTGATTTCATCAAATCGGTTATCATACCATCAATACACAATGACTATTTATCATTATCTTTCATGAATTAAAACAATCCTTTCGATTTCTGATGATATAAGATTAAAGTAATGAAATTTGAAATATCTAATTATTTCAAATCAGTAAAGTTATGAAACTGGAAAATATTGCGAAATGATGACTGGATTTCTCAGTCTCCATTCTACTAAATAATGGTAATATGATGACCTATTTCTCACAATATCAATTTCGCACAGATAAATTTCTGTGATAACATTTAACTTTTAATAAAAAACATTTCGTTCATTATTTCTAATTCTTTTGTGCAAGATTTCTGAAGAATCTAATCACATTCGAATTAATTCAGTAATTCTATTTCCTGCACCAGTTAATTCAGTAATGTCATCTTTTTTGAATTAATATGAAAAAATTGGTCGATCGTACGCAGTTCGTATTTTCTGGAAGAAACATTCTTCAAATTCTATAATTTCCTTAAATTCCTCTAAATAAACAGTGTTGACCTTCTTTCAAATATCAAAATGTCATCGTTTTCAACGTTCAACCATATTTATCACATTTCGATTATTTTATGAAAGAAGTAAAAGTAGGAAGAAACTACAAATGGCATGTTTATCCAGTAATCATACATGAAATTGATGAGATACTAATATGTTCATTAAGGTATAATTAATTGGCCATTTGACGGGGACGAAAGTTAAGAGGAAAAGATCAAACGAATGAAATAAGCATGGTGGCGGGTTTTGGTGTGGAAAATTTAAGCTGGCTTGATAGCATTTTACAACTTTAACTACCACGTATAACCAGTTACACTTGACGTATAAGATTATTCCAACATATAGAAGAATGCCTGAATCTTCTCAGCATCTATCGTAGTGATTCCTGTAAATCTATCGCTATGTTTTCCTTCCCAAAAAAATGGAAAAATTCGTTGTGGTGATTTATCACATACATATTTTTAATCATGTGGTAATCTTTAAGCACCTTATTACTCCACTATATAACAAAAAGAAGTATACTGACGGATACTCTTGACCTGAATCAAAGTGGTAAATGAAAAAGTGACATAAATTCATAAAAGATTTTATCTGATAGTAAATTCGTTACTTGCAAGTAATAGTCTGTGAATCAGCAAAGAAACCAAAGTTTCGAAATATCAATCAGATGACTTGATATGATCAATTCTGAACCATTATAGCCAAGAAAACATATACCACTAAGCGAACAACAGCATGCTGAACGTACGTAATAAACGATCAGACATGTTGAAAATGATTCAACAAAATGTAAGAAGTTTGTTGATGTGTCAGATCTGATAGCATAAATGGAATTGTAATCTAAGAGATACGAGATATTTTAAGTAAATCACGCTCTCACTCTTCACAAATGTATTGACGAATCCACGGATGCTCCATAACGTCTCTCAAAGGAAGACGTGCAGCGGGATCTTTCACCAATAACTGGAAGTGTGTAAATAATGTTAATGATTACAAGTGGATTTAAAAAAGTTATGGATACATTGATTAGTTAGTTCTATCACGTATGACATCTATAATTGCTTTAGTATTTTGGCTGTCTTATTAGTTACTTTACCGAACGAAATACAATTATAAAGGCAAACCTTAGTGATTAAATCCTTGGCCCCTTCAGAAACATGGCACGGAAATGTATATTTTACATTGGCAATAAGTTTGTAAGTTTCATTGTGGGTTTTACTTTCAAACGGCGGTTTACCAACTAGCAGCTCATAGCAGAGAACACCCAAAGACCACAGATCAACCTGAAATTTAGAAGTAATCTGTATCTGATGAGAACAATAAAGATGTGGATGATCAAGAAGTACTTTACTAAAAATGAAATATAACTAATCAAAATAAATGAAAGATGAGAGAAGGAAAAATTTGAGAAAAAGGAGCGATGGGATGGATAAAGAATTCGCATAGCTTCTAACACGGAAGACCTTCAATTCAAACGTGAATGAACACTTTTATCTGGTTATATTGAAAAAAATGATACTTTGCTGACTTTAGCTTAATTTGTTGTTCACCTTATCATCGTGCTTCTCGCCTCGCACCATTTCGGGTGGTAAATAATCCAAAGTGCCGCACATCGTTTCTCGTCTTAAATAAAACGGGAAAAAATTTGGAAAGTTGGATTCGAATTAGAATTTAATTAGTTTTAGAATAAATGGACGACTCTTCTGAGCATACCTGGAAGATGGGGCATGAACACTCCACCCGAAGTCCGCAATTTTCAATTCACCAAACATGCCCAAAAGTAAGTTTTCAGGCTTGATATCGCGATGTATGACTTTTTTGTCATGACAGTAAGAGAGCGCATCCGCCATTTGAAACATAAGCTGAATAAATAAATCTTTGTTATTTTTTGCCGCCATTCATAGGCAAAAGACCATGAATGGTGGCGAAAAATGACAAAGAAGTTGTGAGGAATAAGCTTCAAAAATAAATTTCAATTTTCAAATTTAGTCAATTCATTCGAAGTGCAGATGAAATAGCGAGTTTATTTTTAAGAAAGTCACATATACGCTAAGTCTGATTTGCAGCATTGAAGTGCACATAATTTTTCAAGCAGACTCATTATTTCATTGCTCATATTACAAGCAATTCTAATATCATACTTTTTAATATTCTAATGTCTTTAATGCATAAATCTGCCCTAATAAACAACCGAACCAAAATTAACTCATAAATTTAAGTATCACGAAGAAATACCTTGGCAGTACGTTCTTCATCGAAGTGGCCGCACTTCTGTAACTCTTTATAAAGCTCACCTCCAGCTGCATATTCTAGTATCAAATAGATACGCTTCTCATCATAGAAATAGTTGTACATGCGGAGGATATGAGGATGTCGTAAATGAGCTTGAATTTCAATTTCACGACGTAGCTGATGTTCCACGCTATTTTTGATAAGTTGCGATTTGAACAGAATCTTATGGAAAGAAATCATTTAGAGCATAAATATATAAAAATTTAACAATTAAAACTGGGACATCATCATTATAAGCATGTCGACAAAACAGAAAAAGTTTGCTCTATATTAAGCAAATTTAGATATCACTTTTTTTACTTTACGACATTTGCTTAATTACCCTGAAAAGAATATTGAAAGTAAAAATCATATACTTTCAGAGCTACGATGAAATTGATGCCTTTGACGCGAGCCAGATAGACATTGCCAAATTTGCCTTTCCCTAATGGTCGACCAATTTCGAAGTCACTTAATCGAAATTCTCGGCTGCAGTGATTTCATACAAGTCTAACAAGTCTTGACACATGTTATAAAAGACTGCGGAATGGAACAGATAATGATCAACGATACAAACATTTCGTTGTCGTCCAAACACAACATTTGAGGATTTCAAAATTTTAACAAACAGAAACTTACTCATAAAATGGACTTTTAGGAGCTAAGAATTCAGATTCCTTCCTTGGAACTTGTCGAAACGTTTCCCCTTTATTCGAAATACTGTGCAAAGTCTTAGTCAATGAAGAACTTGCCATTCTGCATGCATGAAATAATATGAAATAAAGGAAATATGGTGTGTTGCCAAATATTACGTACGCACAACAGGAGTTAACTTTCGAGTCGCAGAAAGGAAACAAATATAAACGATAAAAAACAATAATCACGTAAAGTTTGAAAGCAAACATAAGAAAGGGGCAAATAAGTGAAAGTATAACGTAACTGAATAACCAAACGACAGAGATAAAACCAACCGACTGCTAACCTTAGTGGAATACATTTTTAATTAAGTGATTCAACACAATGATTGCATGTTTAGAGTTACAAGAATGAGAAGTATTGGAGAGGAAGTTTAGTCGTATTTTAAAGGTCAAATGTCAAAGGTTGAACAACAGAGGCTGACCTCAATCAGTCAGTCAATCTCACTCCCAAGCCATTCATTCACCAAAATGATTGAATGCATTGCGGGGACCATTCCAGCAATTATTGTAAAACAAAAGAAAATTTATTCAAAAATTTAAATTCGGCGGAGTCCCGCCATGCAACTCGATATCCCACTGTTGTCAGTTATGTGAAGAAGTTAGGAAGTGAGGGTTGGATTCGAATTGATTGGAGAGCGAAGGAAGGTTTCTGGTAGGTTATTTTGCACTTTAAGGTATCTATTAACAGATTACTTGCGACAACAATGAATTATTTTACAAAAAAGAAAGGATTCAGCGGGCAGGACCCCCCACAACGATGTTCCCGGTTCTCATTTATAAGTTTTATGATTCTAAATTGTCAAGTTCCCGCGTACCATTTTGTTTTTTGAATTTTGAAATTGAATATTCGGTAAATTTTATACTGAGTTGATTCGATATTGTTTATCTGTAGAACAGCCTTTATTTACTTTTTCATAAGAAATATAAGGATATACAAATAAAGTAAGGAAATGTATCGATATTGGTCAAAAAAGACAACTGTACATGACAAAATGAAGACAAGGAGCAAAAATATTTCAAAGGCAAGCAAAAATTACCATGATAAGGTATAAGCGAAGGTCACTAACATCACGGTGAATTCCTAAACATTCTTAAACAAGAAAGATGAAACTAAAGAGGATGAAAAAAGTACAAGATGAAACATTAGTACATTACTTACACACTAGCAGGGAACTAGCTTCAAATTAAGCGTTGAAATTGTCAACGTTGTGGGAAATTTCTTCCCAGAAGAGCTGTAATAAGAAGCTGATATGAATGAGGGCAAAGTATGAATCCACATCAAAAGAGAATATCGAAAGAAGCTACTTTCTCCTTATTGCTCACTTTTTAGGAAAAATAATAGCATAGGAATAGTCAGGAAACGAGCTGTCTGAAAAACCCTAAAGATGGAATTTACTTGAATTCTAATCTTAAACATGAAATTTACTTGAATCCCAAAGTTTGCAGACTGCAGATTAGAATTTTTTTCCCAGAAAAAGAAACCATTCTCTTCTTTCAAATAAGGCCTTTGATGATATTTACTATTCACTGAAATAGTAGGCAAGCAACAGATCAGTTATGATTTCGAATTAATATCAGGCAAGCTATATACGGCTGCCGGCCAAGTAAGTGCTCCCGCATCGTTAGTTGTCACTGTCGCATTTTTCTCAGCTTTTTCAACATTCTCTAACTTTTCGTCAGCATGCTACAAAACAAAAAATTGACAAATAACTGAATATACGTCGGAAAAATTGAAAATCATAATAAAAGTTGAATGGTTGATACCCTATCTGACAGTGAATTAAAAGAATGATCTGAGAACTGAAATTAGAATTCTTTTAAGAAGCAGCAATGCAGCACTTGGAGCTCGTTCACACTATTAGAAAAAAAAATGACTTGGGATACTGTTAATTATTTGAATCGATAAAAGACAGAGTATGTTGAACTAGACTTTGAATTGAAGATGAAACAAAACATTGACAAAGTCTTTCAAACTGTTGACCGTTTTGCACCATACTACAAATACCGACCAAAACTATGAGGATTAAAAGAGTATATCTGCGCAGTAGTTTTACAAGTAAAAGGAATAAACTGCATTACATATTACAACATAATGAAGATTGATAATGTAGTAATAATAAATCCTACCAACTCATGGTGATCCTTGAAAGCGAATCTAGCTCGAACTTTTTTCAGTGTTAGTAATCCCTTCATCAAACTTCGCCAGTTTTTTATGGCTCGTTGCGTTTGTTTCTGGAATTATCATACAAAAATTTTGACCCTTTCTCTTAGTTCCGATTCTTTTTTTTAAAGCTAAAATGAAATCTTAGTGATAAAAAAGATCAAATATTGCTGTTTAATCAACCAATTTCGCGGTCATTTTCTTTTTTTCATAGTGTTTCGACCAGGCTTCTCGAAGTTCATTTTCATGCTCTTTCAAAATTACGCATCCATCAAGGCTGAAACTACGAAATGACTTAGTCAACTATTAGAAAGTAGTTAACCAATGATGCAGCTCTTCAGATTTCAGGTTTAGAGCAAATATCGAAAGTTGATTGATATTAGCTGCATCACATCAAGATTTTCAGATTCTTCTGTTACAAAATTCTAAGAGAAAAAGCCTAAACAAGTTGATATCTATCATATAAGTAATGAGAACAAAACTGCAAAATCAAAGATTATTTTTTTAGTTCTGGAAAAAGAAAAAAAACATAACAATTAGCAGCAAATTATATTTTGTGTTTCAAATGAGTTGTATTTTCTTTTTACGTCTTGTAAACTTGAAACCTCATGGACAATCAACTAACATGGGATGAGTACCCCCTCTACAATGATTCCATCCTACAACTGCAGGAACACAATCAATGCCAAGTTTGCGAGCTATAGCTACCAATCCATTCAGCTGCAGATGAACACAACCGTCTGGTATCATAGTGTTTTTGTAAACATATAAATTGCCAAATTCATTGCGTGGCACACGACCCTGCAACAGCAGAACAAAAAAAGGATAACCTGAGATAATAGTTCACCTACACAATCCAAGCTTAAATATAGCTCTCTTGATGAGTATAATTTTGGGTATAAGAAAGATGCATAAAAAGACTACATATTGGAACAGTATAGTAAAATGGGATATATGTTTCAAAGCTCATAACACAAATAGAAGTGATAATGGAGCAGCGAGAATCATCTGCTCTTTCATTATATCCATCGATTTCCATTAAAAAGCAGTCAAATATCCAAAATTTACATCAACAATTTTCGGAGTGACATATGGTATCGTTTGCCATCGGCCGTATAAATCAACAGTTTTTGGTCCACCATATTCTGATAAAGCACGATTACAAGACCTTTTTTGTACAACTCTGTATGGTTTTTCGTTAGGCTGCAAAATTAAAGAAAGTGAAACAATATTACAGGGAATTTTGCAAAATTGTTTAATTACTTTGATTGACCGAAGCTTCTTCATCCAGTTTATTGCACCATCAAGTCTATGAACTGAACTGCGTAGATATATATTAAAGTCCTTGATTTTCCCTACGGGTTGTTGATTTTCTGGATATATTGTTTCATATTTTGACAAATCCTTCTCCAATACATATCTAAAGAAAAAAATTTGAAAAACGAATCAGTGATTTTTTGTTGTAATTTCTCAGCCAATAACAGATGGAAACAATAAACAATGACATCCTCCACATTTCTTGTCATTCCATAGTTATACAAAACACCTTACATAAATATTCGGAGTAATATATGATATATATAACCAAAGAAACTATTAACGGCGATTACCTCGTCATAATTTTTGGATTTTTGTACGCTGGTACTGTATCCCTATTGTAACTTTTTTAATTATATATCCTTTCTGGTTATAGTAATAATCCCTCATTAATTTGTAATTTGAACTGGCCTTTAAAACTGCAGTATTTAAAATACAGATCAGTATGCTGTTTATTCAGTGTTGGAGCTATCCAGAGGTTCAATAGTTTAGGGGCGCAATTAATTTAAGATAGTTTTCGCTTGTACTTCAATTGTAAAAGAAACTCTGTACTCACAACGGGTGATTTTTGTACTCTGGTACTGATGTGGGCTTTGGTTTGGAAAAGAGATATTGCTCGATTGAAATATCTTCGAGTCGCTCACGCATTACATTCCTACTCTGATAAAGCTAAAAATAGTGCCAAGTTAAATTTTAAAAAGTTACAATGCTATATGATGAGTGATTCAAATCAACAATAACCTCTAATGTATCATTCCACCAGTCTTGATTCACCCACAGTCGTCGAACTGCAGGTGTCAGATATCTGGAAGCATAACGTGCTGTTACATCACGCATTCCATATTCTTCAAAATAAAGTTTGAAATAAATTCTGAACTTACCCTAGTTGTAGACACAATCTTCGATTAAACTACCATGTTAATCACAGAAACTGAGACACTAGCTAAAAGTTATCTAACGTGTAACATTAGTCAATGGGAACTTCATTTTACAAGCGTTATAAAACGACTGATACTACTACGAAGTATGGTCAAATTGCTTTAAAAAAAGAAATTTACCGTTATCAATACAAAGAACGTAATGCATGGGTGGAGTAGCATCAGCTTCTACTGCTTCTGGCTTATCAATCGATCCGGTCCATGGATCCAAACCTGAAATACGAAAAAGGTAACTATCCCAAACCATATGTAAATAATTAAGGGAAAAAACGTCAAAATTTTCGTTAAGATGTGTTATCTAAATTGACATTTGACGAAAAAAATTACATATCCAACGACGGGAATTCTCATCCCAAAATTCCACCCAGTAATTCCTTTTCAGACTCAGTCTGCCAACTGAAGCACTGTCATTTTCATTTTGTTTCCCGCCGTCAAACAGTACAATTTTTTCTACTGTCTCTTCCAGTTTTCCCGGCCATTCTCTATAGTCATTAGCTGTAAGCTTTCTTGATCCATAATAACTGATAAGAGATTCAATCGCTTCCAAAGGTCGTTGTCGCACTGCCTAAAACTTTCTTATTTTGAGCAACAGTCCTATTATAACAATGCATTTAAAAAAAAAAAATGATAGCGGGAATATCTTCTGAAGAAATAATTGAACATACTTCCTTGAATAGTTCAAATAATAATGTCGTATTCATTTACATGCATGTGATAATTACAGTAAGGAACAGAAAAAAAAAAAGCACCAGTTTGAACGGCATTGGCTGACACGATAAACAAAGGCGAGCTGTTTGTTTCAAAGCAATGAGATTCAAAAACAACAGCTGAAAATAAATTACAAAACATAAAGTAAAATGAAATAAATGATCAAATAAGCTAGTTATTTTGAATTGCTGATCGCTTGTTGTTACAAATAAAATATAAATGCCATTTGATTTTTCAAATGTTAAGAAAAATGTACATTTTCTGTAGACTAAAGTGGACTAAAGTATGAAATAAGGTTCCATTTACATTTTATTGTTTATTAAGCTTTACTTATACTATAGTAATATCAATGTGAACACTAAAAAAACAAAAATTAAAAATCACTCTTGTACCTCAATCTCTTAAGTTTTAATCTCTGAGAAATTATTAAAGAAATACAAAGTTATGTAGATTATTGGATCATTTCCAAATAAATCTTACAGATGCCAAATCCTTATCGCTTTCGTAGAACTGTCCAGCAATTAATTCTTCTAACCGATGAAGCTGAAAAATGAGAGCTAACCTAAAATTGGTTGTCGACTTACTAGAGCGGAACTAAAAACTTTTTGGTTAAACTCTTCAAACCAATGTATGCCAAACAGTGAGTATAGCACAGTGATTATGAATTGTCTTTAATTCACAAAGAACTCTCCAATAATCTCCACTTTTTGGGAAAGAATGGATAAGAAAATGACATTTAAGCCTATGAAAACAAAACCTGAGCAGCACTGAAATCACCCTTAACCATATAAACTTTTTTGGCTGGTTGATATGCTGTTTTGAACCAATGAACAAATTTTTCTGCTACTGTAATATTAAAATCAGGACGAGCTGCCGCGACAAGCTGTTCGGGTATCATTGATAAACACACTGACGCCAAATACTGATCACATAACAATGTGTGTATCCACATACGCAAATGTGCAATGTAACAAAGCAGGTGCATCTAAAATACATAAATCATTTGAACATCCTTGGCAAACATGTTAGAAAGGTGTAAGCAAAAGAACAGAGCTTTCAGTACTCTTGCTAGAAGATATCCTAATAAATTAACATTCATTTTGAAAATGACGAAGAACCAACAAATATATTACTTACCAATCAATTTAATTTCAACTGCTTCTTTTTTGCCCCTTCCTTTATTATTTCATCAACACTTTTTTTGTCCGAAATATTGAGCAAAAAACCTTGTGACAATGAATTTGTCGTTCACGAAGTTTTTGATTGACATGTTGTTTAATAAAGCGTGCTCTTCGAGTTTCCACCGTTTCCATCGTTTTTACTTTCATTTTTGGTTTCTTAATTGTTACTTCGATAGTAGTTGGTAGTACAGCACTGTTAGAAAAATCAAACTCATCGACATTCTCCCATTCATCATCCGAACAACTGGAACTACTTCCGTCGCATGACAAACTGGGCGCAGGTTTTTCACACTTTTCATTTCTTTTAATTAGCTGCTTTTTTGGTGCAGAATCTAAAAATCAGAAATTCATCAACACGCACAACAAATGGAAACTAGAAGAGCAGGAATCATCATCCAACATTATGTTTAATAATCATGATTTATACTGAATAAGCACAGAATTAGTGAAACAAACGACTAATTTCACCTCAAAATGTCAATTTTTCTCCAAACCTGTGAAAACTCACCTTGCATTCCTTCAGATTTAGAGGCCAACTTCTTTGGAGACCGTCGTTTTCGTCTTGCTTTTTTAGTACCGTTTCTATTTGTCAACTTTTCATCTTGTTTACTCTCCTTAACTCTCATCTTTTTTATCGAAACATTTTGTAATTGACATTCAGAAGTGGAAATATTTCCTTTCCGTTTTCTTGTGTTCTTTCTGGGAGAAGTAGCAGTACTCTTCTCTGCGATATCTAGAAAATGCTGGGAGCTAGCTAAAGTGAATTTACAAAACACAAATCAGACTCACTGCTTTTTGTTAAATTGAATATATCAATTCATGATGACCTAGATGACAATAGTCAAGCTTTACTGCTATTTATCATTCTTTCTGCTGATTTTTGTTCTTTGATACCAATTTTAATTCCAATTCCTGGCATTCTCTTCCGCGATATATAACAATATTCTTTTCTGAGTTTCTTATTTTTCAATTCGGAAATAAACTGAACAGGCTAAAAGACGACTCCCATTCCAGCAGTGAGAAATAATCCTCCTACTCAACTAAGACGAATAATTCGGTGAATAAATGAGTAATTTAGGTGAATTCAAAAGTCACTTAAAACTTCATTTCGAATCCATTAATTTGCAACTGCGAATAAACAAGTCCCTCTATCTTTACACTTATATGCTGTTATTTTTTGCATAAGTCAAACGAATACATTGGAATGCTTACTGTAACTTGCTATGGAGCTGCTCAAGAAATCGGTAATAGTCCCTGTTTTATCATCCAGCTCCACCTTATTTTCTCCTGAAGCCTGCGACTGCGTCGCAACACACCACTTGACATCCGCGCAAGTTCCTTCAGGAAGAAGTACTTAACACAAAATTTACTTATTCGATACAGCACCGTATCTCTAAGGCATTGATTCCTTGCCGAGATCTCGAACTATTGTAACTGTTATCCTTAGTACACAAACCAAACATTGAATACACCTTCGAAACTAAGCAACAGACTCATGGCCAGATAGTCCTATCGTACCTTCCATCGACGCGATGTCTCTTGACAGTAAATTGGAATCTACAAACAAGAAAAGACAAATACTGTAGGCAACAGTACACAGCTCACCTGGTGCCAACTAGAAACGAAACATGTTTGAAAAAATTACATATGCCTGTTGTAACTCAGTGAAGCTCTAATCCGTTTAATGAGCTTTAGACTAGTTTGCTCAAAGTCTGGGACTATTGTCCTCTTGTCCTATTTCCAACTTAGTTTATTCTATCCTATCTCTCTCCCTTTGTCCATACAGGTCAGTTCGAATTTTCTTCACTTTTACCTGAATTTCATGGATTTTAAAGTTCCAAAAAAATACAACTGAAATCCAAGATGACCCAAAAATAATTGATTACAAAAAAGTAGGACTCTTTCTCTTGACAAACAGTATTATTGCACAAAGTCGAAAATTTAACCCTAAATTCCTTGCAACTTTTACATGTATGTTTCCTTTTACATTTAATTATATACTTAGTTATTCAACTTGTGCTCTTCCTCATACTTCTTTTTCTTCAAAAAGAACACAACATATACTTTTCCTGACCTCTCTTTCTCTTCCTTCTCCATATTATACTTTTATTTCTAGTCATAGGAATTGTTGATTATAATCGTGGCAAAGAAAGACCAGAAACTTTTCATTAAAATCTCGATTGCTGTTCCAGGAATAAGCGTGCTTCTATAGATAGTTAATCAGGAATATTTTGTTGAGAAGTCTAGCATTTTACTAATTAAAGAAAGTAATGATGACAGTCAGTGAATAATAAACAAATACATTATGGGTTTAACCAATGTCGTTTAAATGGCTCAGAAAGGAGAAGGAATTGTTGGTAAAAACCAAAATATTTTCAGTGTGAAAATAATAGCGACATTGTAAAGATGTGTAGGTCAATCCTGTTGTAAGATATTGTAAATCAACTTATGTTGATTATTAAGTTATATGCACTGTCGATGTACAGTAAAGAATCTCAGGTCAGTGTCGACATATTGTAGAGGATTTTAAGTCAATGTCGGCATACAGTAATAAAAAAAGCCAAAATAGTCACTAGTTATGAAAAGATTGGGAACTACTGATCTAATAATATTAACTCAGCTCGATAATATACACACTTTGCAGGGAAACATAAAAATATTAGAATGAATAAAAGAATATCAGGATGAATTGTACACATGGCATAACTTAATTTGACAAAATTAAGTTATCCCATACGTACAATTCAAAAAAAACTTAATTTGACAATTTGACGTGTTGTTACGACATATCTAAAGATGATTTCTGGCCCAGTAATTGTGCAAAATCATGAGTGTTACTGATACTGTAGCTGATACTGCCGAAAATTGGAGTTCCTAGGATTTTATGAATTTCTGAGAATTTAACATACAAATTCAATGAATTGTTTCATTCTTAATTGTTTCAGATACGATGCGTCACTTGGAACGTTTCAAAAAATATGGACAAACAGAAAAAGAGTTGACTTGTAATCTGTTTGCTGAATTTTATGGTACCGTTCTCCTAAAAGTTAGTATTTCAGTTTGGAATCTTAACGCTGTTGATATCTGGACTTTTTTCACATTCGGAATTTCTTGGTCCTATCTCAGAAGATTCACCCAATAAAGCTTTAATTCAGCAACAGTGAAACTTCAACTCTTACTAATGTCTGTTTGTCTTTACATTTCAGTGGTTGCAGTTCACATCTGTTCGGCGTGAAACATTTCTTCCAGTTAATTGTCCAAACTGGCAAAATTTCTGTCGTCTAACTAGGAAATAAATTTTATGAAGAATTCAATTTATTGGTATTGGTGTGACTGTTCAGTCGCGGGACATCTAGCTCTCAGATACAAATTAATATCGGCTGGGAACGATCGGCAGGATCGTACTATTAGTTTATGTTGCGTGGGAAATCTCGGGTAACATATAGTATCTTCACGAAGTCATTAACTGAAAATGCTAAATTAGATGCGGAAGATTACAGCCTTATAGAACAAGTAGAAGCAGCTGAAACCAAACTTAAATTATGACTATTGTGTGTTGTGTCCAGTAAAGAATGGATTCCTGATCCATGTCTTTCCGGAAAAGTTACAAACGTCTGCACTTTTATATTTCTTTCACTTCGAGTATATATCAAATTGTTCGTGCAGCAGCTGTCTTATAGTTTATCTCATTTAATGATTTTAATCCGACGCTATGGTTTGGAGAACTATTAGAATATTTCTTTGCTGAAGTATAAAACTTGCCAGACTTCTCGGAAATACCATAAATTGAGGTTAATTTTCTTAGCGTTGTTGCATCGGTCTTATTTGGCCATAAAATTCTTTTTACGATGCAAACTCTCAGCAGAATAGTTATTTGTATTTTGAAGGATATATTTAAATGGTGCTTATAATTGGATTAATTTTCAGGTGGACATGTACATCCGGCAGTAACGGCTACTTTATTCATTCTTGGAAAGGTATCTTTTATTCACAGTCGTCTGTATTTCGTTGCGCAAAATTTGGCGCCGCATTTGGCGCACGGATGATGTATATGGTTTATAGCGGTAAATTCCCCTTGATTTTTGTAGCATTCCAATTTCACTTTAATGATTTTTAACATTCTATCTTTGTCGATATCTATTCTTTGGGAGGATGCAATGAAGTAAATGAAGTACAGTTAGGCAGGTAAATTAGGTGTGGTAAATGACTTCTCCCTGTGATTCACACAGCTTTTACTGTTTTCAGAGACGATAAATACGTTTGACGAAGGTGTTCGAGCAATAAATGAGCAAAATGCAACTGGAATAATTTTTGCATCTTACCCACAGGCTTATCTTTCCAATACTGGCGCCTTTATCGACCAAGTTTGTCTGTCTTTTCTTTCTCAGAATTCACGCGATCTCTTTTCAACACAATCTAACAACAAATCAGCAAACAGTCTTTCCGTTACATTCTAAATAGTACAAATACTGACAATATTGATTGATTTTCTATCTATAGTAATTCACTTTTGGTTTGAAGACTTCCACCTTCCATTCATAGTTTTAGATGGTTAGGGCACTAGTCTAATTGGTCGCATTCTGCTGCAAACCCAAAAATTAGATATCAAAAAATTCAATATCAGCTGTTTTCGGTACAATCGCAGCGACCATTTCGGTTGTTGCGGGCTTGGATATGGGTTCGCCGGTTAATCCAGCTAGTGATTTTGGTGCACGAATTTTTGCCTCCTTAATTGGTCATGGCATCCAGCTTTTTACGTCAGTACATTAATTTCCCTTCGATCTTGATTTCTATCTCTAGTACTTTCAGAATTCTTCAGAATTCTGCATGTTCGGAAAATTCTTATCCTTTCAGATTCCATCACTACTTTTTCGTCGTTCCATTACTGGCGCCAATTGTGGGTGCAGTGATTGGCGCGTATTCCTATCGGTTTTTTATCGGTCTCCATATTCCGAAACCGGTGGCAACAAAATCGATAAAGATAAATGGGAAACAGATCAAGAAAACGGATTAAAGCAAGCTTCAAGATTACTATTACTATTACTTCTATTGTGAGATTTAAAATTCTGCATAATTCTCGCAACAGATTTCAAAAGAGAAAAAGAAGCAGCTCTTTTATTTCTTTTAGAATCTCAATCAAAAACTGTACAAAAAAGTGCATATGCATATAACTGCGGGACTATTGGAAGGCATTTCAGATAAAGAGAAATTATAAAATTGATTGTAGTTTTATACTGAACTACTTAGTAATATTTTTATGTGCTCATTTTAATATTTTTGTCTCTAATCAGTTCTTTTTTTTTCAAAAAAATTATAAAATTTAATGAGAAATTATAAAATTGATTGTAGTTTTATACTGAACTACTCAGTAATATTTTTATGTGCTCATTTTAATACTTTTGTCTCTAATCAGTTCTTTTTTTTCAAATTTAAACGCAGTAGAGAAAGCTGCAGTATGAAAACTGCAAAAAAAACTCCCGTTGTATTTGGATCTGAACAAGTTTACGTTTAAAATAAAGCTCAGAAATAAATCGATCAATTCCAGGAAATCCGATTTAGAAGTTTAGTTGATGTTTTTAATTAGTATGTAGTCAACTGGGAATCATATGACGTCTTCTTTCTTTTTTACTTTTCCTTTATTATTCAAGATTGTATGTCAAAACCTATCAGAAAAATGCTTTCCTGATAGTTCTAGTAAAATAACGCGCTATGTGACAACATTGATATGCAACGATAGTAATGTTAACATATGATACTGTTTATGTGATACATATCACGATACCCAAACATATGATAGCCAATTCGCGAATAAGCTCGGAATTTTCATATATTCTCATAATAACAAGTAACAAGTCGAATAATGTGCAAATTCAAGTGAATTAAATCAGATATTTATTACACAGACATAAACAAATAAAAGAAGGCTGTCTCACCCGCCGTGTAGAGTAGAGATGAATGAAACGACGTCACCATCCTCCAGGGCCGTTTTAGGTCCTTGCAGCAAATCCCAGTCCACTTCATTAACGAGTACCAATATTCCAGGTCGTACATCTTCGCCGTCCTTATCCACAAGTAGATGAGACCTTGATTTGTTCGGCATTAAGTTAATACAGATGTATCGCATCAAATCACTAACTAGTAATGGCCCCGATTCATTTGGGACCTGTATATCGAATTCTTTCTGCATGTCAAACAATGACTCCACTCCACCGGAAAATTCGAGCTTCAAACTTAAGACACCCATTTCTAGTCCGAAATCTAAAATCAGTTATGCAAATTTCAGAGATGCTTGTCATACAATACGTCTGTATGTACGTTGTATGTTAGGATCACACTTACTACAAATATTGGTGGTGAAAAGTTTGAATCCGTCAATTCATGTCTTAAAAGACACTACTCTTCGGGACATTACTCAGCATTCTCAACATTTCGTTTCGAGGGATGCTATTCAACTAATGCTCCGAACCACTACTGCATGAATGTGTTCCAATATGATTTCTAGCAATCTCTACTCTTTCCTCCCTTTGAAAAGTCCATTCTTCTATTGTGATCGCAGTCTCTATACCAAACTTATTACTGCCACACACACAAAACATACCTCCCCTCCATACTTTATGTCCCACTTAAAAAAGAATCAAACTTAACTCCCACAGCTTCAACTTTTCACTTCCACATGAGGACTTACTCAATAACGCGGCCCAACGTGATGTCGCGTTTTGATCAGTTTAAAAATTTGGTCGTTTATCCTCAGTTTTGCTTATATTTTATATTTTATATTTTATATTTAGTTTATATTTTATAGGAAGGGAGAGGGGAGTCTTTGTTGTAAGGATTGGATCTTTTCATCCAACCTTATCTTGAAAAGATCTATAACTTTTCATGTCATGTTTAATTTGAGATCTTTTCTGTTAGATATCCCCTAAAGTTTTTTTATTACGATCTAGTATAGGCATCTCACCAAGTTTTGATAGTGACTATAGAAATGGGACTGTTATAGTCAAGATGAAGAACAGATGCTCTCGACATCTGACAGCTTTTTACTGAATCGAATAGAATGACTAGCATCATGGGCTTAGATTGAGGTCGCCTACTACTTCGATATCTTGAAGACTTTCAAGTTTGAGGTGCAGTATTGAGCTATGTTTAAATATTCCCAACAACATTTATTCACAGATGATTAAAAGAGGCAAAAAGCAGAATTCTGCACATCTTGGGAATACTAAAGAGTTAAAGGATGAGAAGACTGAAATACCAGGCGCATCCAAATCTAACATGAAAAAAGCTGCTGAGGAACGTGTTCGAGAGGGCAATGCTTTCGCTAAGTTTGATTCGCAATGCAAATCATGGCGGCTAATTGTGCGCAATTTGCCATTTAAGGTAGGTATCTCAAATTTCGACTTCAATTCTGTAAATTTTAGCGGTATCAAAGATTCTTCTCATTTGTCAATCAAAACTTTTTATTGCATCATTTTTGTTATAGTTAAAGCCTACTTACTATTGACGATATTTTTTCTTCATAAAGGATTTTATTCTAATAAGTGTCATACTCTAGTTTAGTTTTTTATGAGCCTTTTTCAGCATCGCATAAATGACCTACTCAAGTTTTTTAGTTGGAGCCTTAAGTATAAAATGGGCAGAAATATCATGTTGAATGGGAGCACTATGCAGTCCTTTATTTTTTATTTCCAGACGACGCAGGAAGATCTAGAAGCGGTGTTTGCCAGCATTGGCCCATTCACTGAAATTGTTTTGCCAAAATGCAAAGATAAACGGTTTCCAAATTCGTGTGCTGGTTTTGCATTTATCCAATTCCGCAAACGTCAAGATGCAGTGAAGGCCATCGAGAAATTAAATACATCTGAGGTTAATTAAAATATTCCTCTATTATACTAGTTTGTTTTATCTGAAAGCGTTTTTAGTCGTACGTTCAGAGAGAAATAAAGGCAAGAAGCTTTTATAGGTACTGGGAAGAAAAATCGCAATCGACTGGGCTTTGTCGAAAGATACCTACGAGACAGCAGTACATGAAGGTTTCCTTTTACAGTTAGTTCATGGAAAGTAACACTCGTGGGCTTATGTTTTCCACGCTTCATTTTAGTTTGAAATGCGATGAAAGTACTATGTTTTTTAGCGTTTGAGTTCTAAATTGACTCTGTATGCTAGCTTTTTTTCTGTATGCTAGATATATTCGAGGAGATGTTTATGTGAAGTAGAATTTATATCTGAGAATTCATAGCTTGTTTGGTTTCATAGTTGAATTACTGGGATTTTCCTTTTCTGGGACACATATTATTTCCAGAAAAGCAGAGAAATCAGAAAATGAAGGAAGAAATCAAACAAGAGGTTGAATCGGACAATGTCAGTATCATTGAGGAGAGAGAAAGAGGTGTTAGCGAAATAAAGGAAGAAGTAATGAGCGAATCTGATGAAGATATTCAAAAAGTTGAAAAAAAGCCGGAAAAACAAACTGAACGAGAATTCAAGGAAGACAAAGCAGTATTGGAAGGACGTGTCGTATTTATCAGGTTAATAGTTACGGTACTTTGGTAAAAGTGTGGTGAAGAGCGAGTTGAAATAATTATAATTCCTTTTCGAAGAAACTAAGTTTGTCACGACACCAAACATGGCAAGATTGGAACGAGCTGTTTAGGGTCACTGCTCAAATTTGCACTGTCGAATTCAAAATTATAACAAATTTGAATTCAGCGTACTTCTGAAATTTTATTCTGGCACATCTATGTTTCAGAAATTTGTCATATGATACAACAGATAAGGCGTTAAGGGAAGCCCTGTCGAAGTTTGGAAATATTTCATTGGCAATTCTTTGCCGTTACGCGGGCAGTGAACACCCAAAGGGAACTGCTTTTGTGCATTTCGAAACACCTGATGGAGTGGAAAAGTGTTTAACAGCCCTTGATCAGGTAATCTTTATAATCACTTTTAAATTTAGGTCGAGAAAGTTGGATTATTGATTTCTTATAGCAATTTGAAAAATTTTTAAACCTAAGGTATTATGATTTAATTAAACTCTTCTCCAAATGATATGAATCTGATAAAAACCTTTGTCTTCTAATATTATTAAATTACAAGAGTTGTTGATTGAGTTCTGAGATCAAGTCTTGGCGTTTAATCACTAAATTTTAGTATCGATGTTCTAGGCTCCTGGTATATCAATTGGCGGTCGTCGAGTTTTCGGTCATCGGGCATTGCCAAGAAGTGAAGCAGCAAAAATTGAAAAGGTATATATAGGCGTAGTAGTTGGCTTTAGTACTGGAAATACCAATGGGAAAAGTCAAGTTGGTGAGGGGGTGTTGTGGATATTGTTTGAGTTTCTCATTTTCATTTGCTTACTCTGTCTGCATCTTTTATTTCTTTTTTCATGACTACCAGTTCTACAGCTAATGGATTGTCGGTATCATGTTCAGTGTAAAGCTAGTTTCCAAACTATTTTAATGCATCGTCCATTCAGCCATTTGATTGTTCTGTTGCGTTATATTTGCAGCAAATGTAGTATTTTTTAAAGGAAAAGCTGTCAAAAAAGCCAAAAGACAAGCGAAATCTTTTCCTTCTTCGCGCTGGTTTTATACGACCTGGTACAACTGCTGCAGCTGGTATGAGTGAAACAGATGCCGATAAGCGTGCTCGTTTGGCAGTAGCTGCACGACAAAAGCTAAAGAATCTCCATATGTATGTCTATTTGGGTTTTATTCCATCAGCAACGTGAAATCATATTGCAGGAGTTCTTGGTTTGGGCATCTGATTTCCAATTTGCATTAATTTTTGTTATGTATTCTTTCACTTATTTACCAGTATATGAATTGCTGTGCTTTTTTATTTATAGATCAAAGATTTTTGAAATTCCTAGATGTAAAACCAGTCAGACTTTTGTAACTCACTTTGGCGGACTCATTTCGAAAAGCTATTGTTTTATCTCCTGAATTATAATTTTACGTAGCTAAGTCTACTCGTATTAACTTACGTTAAGATTTAATGAAAATAGAAGGGATGAAATTCAAAACCTATAGAGTTACGTTACAGGAAGCAGTTATGAAGCAAGCAGTTTTGCAGGTTTGTCTCTCCGACGCGTTTGGTTGTTCACAATTTACCAAAATCTTTAACCGATAAAGCCTTTAGATCGATGTGCTTTATTGCAGCTGGCAATCCGGATGCAAGAATAACTGAAGTATGCTTTCGAATTTGAAAATTTGTATGCGTTGGTTGTTTAAGTTGCTCAATAAGCTTTTGCTCTATTGAAGCACTTCTCAGCGCTTTTTGTCCGTCGTTACTAAAAAAAAAAAAGTTAGATACTCTTAATGATATACCATGCCCGTTACTTCCTGTGCCAGTAAATTTGGCAATATATTTTCATCGTACCTAATCGATACTTTCAGTGTCGAATTTGGAGAGATAAAAATAAATTAGATACATCTGGCGAAGCCGTATCTCGAGGTTTTGGCTTCGTCAACTTTTCAAGCCATCAGGATGCATTATCAGCTATGAAACACTTGAATAATAATCCTGATATATTCACCAAGGAAAAGGTTCCATTTAAATTTAGATTTCTACATGAGATATAATCTGGAACCGAAAAAGTTATTTTGTTTCTAAAATCCATGTGATTTCGCTAAGTAGCGATGTGATTATTCTTCGATGAAAAAGTTGGAAATTTATAACGCCTTATTTTAAATATTATTTGTTTAAAAACCTCATCAAACTAATTACCACTGACAGATGAAGGAAATTTATTTCATACGTAATTTGCAATTCATTTTTAAATTTTCAGAGGCCCATTGTTGAGTTTTCCATTGAAAACCTGGTTGCCCTTCGGCTTCGTGAATCAAGACTGGAGAAATCACAGCAGAAGCAGTCAGGCAATGAACAAGTTGTATCTGGTAAGAATAAGCGAGATTTGGAGCAAACAAAGAAGCATCTTTCGGCTGGTGGACAGAAACCCCTTCCCTCTTATTTGGGACCCAAAATTCGAAGAAAAGATGCCACGATGAAAAAGACCCAGGTAAGTTTTGAGCAAGTTTTAATTGTATTTTAAATTTTCTGCGCCATTTCGGGAATTTTCTTTTGCCTATTACGTTGGTATTACCTTTAGGCGAAGGAAAAAATCAGCAGGAAAAGAAAGCTGCAGACAAGGATGTCTGAAATAGTGCCGAAGAAGAAAAAGACAAACCGTTCCAAACAGCTTACGAAGTACCTTACCCTGTCAGGCTAATGTGATAATTTATGGTCATTTCAATGAAATCTCTAGACTTAAACGAACATTATGTTAGCGAGTAATAGTTGATTGTTTAACTGACCTTCTCAAATCCTGCAGATTAATAGAAACTTCGTAAGTCTAATTTTACCTGAAATAACAAAAGTGAGGGATATTTGTATCTGCTCGAATTGTCAAATTGCAGCTCTTTATAGAATTTTTAGCTTGGATTAGCTTGGAAACTGGAACTTAACTTTGGCAGGCAATGCTCTTTCATTTCGCTTTGTGCATCAGCTCCATTTTATGGCGAGTCGCTCTTTAAGGTCGTAACTTATAAAGGGAATAAATTCGTTGTCAAATATAAGATGTTGGCTTAGGGTTTGTATTGTTTCAATAAGTTTATAGAAGCATTTTGTGACGAAGTTGTTGAATTTCATAAATTTGTTTAGCTTTTACGCTATTTGCTCGTATTCGTAAAA